ACTTATTTTGATTTTTGGCAACTTTTAATAACCTTCAGAGTTCAGTTGCCAAAAGGTGGGGAAAAATAATTTTTCTGTTTTTTTTTGCTGAAAATCAATTTTATTTTTTTGGTGAATATTTCCATTAATGGAAAAGTTATTTTCTGTCAAATGTTTTTTACTGAAAATTTTTGGCAAGCTCTAGTAGAAATGTCAGGTAACATGATGAAAAATGGTCCAAACCTCTCTAGAAAAAGGGTAAGATAAAGGTCTGTAATATTCATTTTTGTAAAAAAGGACACAACACTTCCCACTCAGAATGCCTTATGATCTTCTGTAATGATGGCAGAATCATGTTTTCCAATAAACAGAACTAATCTGTTGATAATGTAAGTGACAATTTTATTTGGTTTTCATTCAGAAGGATTCAAAAACTTTTTACAAGATACATGTAAAAAACCTGATTTTCAAAAAGGTAAGTGTGCAATTGAGTAAAAACAAGCTAAATGCATGTATGTAATTAGCACAACTGCATGTATAAATTGGTTCTTTGCATATGTGAATAGACAGTGAGAGTCATAAGTGGTTGTTTTTCCATGGAAAAACCTGATCGGTGCATGCAGTTTATGGCAGTTGCCCATACAGACTGGGTACACAATTGCATATGCAGCTGTACATCCGACTTTAAATATTAGACCTGAAGTAAGTACGAAGAGTCACTTCATGCATTACTGAAATGCAGCTGCCCTTGAGGTCAAATTCATCAACTGTCTAACCATGCACTATAACACTACACAGTGCTTTGGGAGAAGAAATGAAGAATAGTGCATAAAGCAGACAGCACAGGCTGTGGCTGAGGGCACAGGGACTTTTCAGGCCCTTATATCCCAGTGGATCCAGAGGGATATATCTGGGGTACTGGGACAGGAGACTGCCTTTCCTGCTTCACATGGGCAGTAGCAGCCAAGAGGAGGGTCTTACGGCAATCCCTAGATTTGGGGGTTTCTTCCACAAAGCAGCCATCATCTGCTGCAGCTGAAGTGTGTGTGGGGGTGGGGTGGAGGTAAAACAGGGCCATCCAGCTCTTTTACCAGACCTAGAGGGACCTGGTGTTGGCCCTGCCTTTCACCTGGGAAACAGCAGCAGCTGGGAGGAGCCCTCCCACCCTTCTGATACCTTAATTCTCTCAGCTCTGGAATTTGGACTGTGGATATATATTTTTTGTTGTTTGCCTTGCTTTCAGCGGTTGCTGCTTCTCCTTCATCCCATTCAGCCTCACTCTCCGGCCTTCACATCCTCCTACTTCCCTCCCTCAGTTTCCCTTCTCCCTTTACTCACTCCCCCTCTTACTCAAAAAGTCTCTTCCTCCTCCCCTTCGACTCCAAGTATAACCCCCACACCTAAAAACAAACAAACAAAACCCCTCTTAAACCCAGCTTTTTGTAATCTAAATAAAAGGGATAATGTGCTAACAAGAAATAAATAAAATGTGAAACATACAGAAACCATGGTAGTAACATGACATTTGCCTGCCGTCACCTGAGCACCTTTCCTGTGTGTGGTACCATTTTTCCCTACCCTTCAGGTGTGGGTTTTTTTGTGGCTTTTTATACTGCAAGCTCTGCAGCACAGTCACTTGTCACTGTCTTTGTAGTGCTCCTCATGCCAGTGAGCTTAGGATGCTACTGCAATACAAATAAATAATAGTAAAATATTCGGTTGCAGCATGTAACAACTCAAATAGGATCTTGGTCAGAATATTTGACTCCTGTTCCTGTGAAAAGTGTCATGGAATATTTTAATGCCCACAAGTGTTCAGGACTTTAGATTTATATCATAATAAATTTTTAAAATGGCTTCAGTGCCTTTCTAATGCCATGATAAGATGAGTACTGGCCTAGGGCTTGATTTGTCTCTCATTCAACTCGGTGGAAAAACTGCATTGAGTTGAATGGTTCAGGAACAAGACCATAGAAGGAAGAGTGGTATTTGCTTTTTCACCAACACCATTTTCCTCCATCCCTCAGTTTTCTTTGGAAGTCTCTCATCCTAATACTGATCAACCCTGACACCGTGTGCTGTATCTTATCTCATAAGATCACAGCCTGAGATGGTGTTCACAAACTTCCACGGAATTTGTCCCATTATGAACCAATGGTAGTTTTCAGTTCTGATTTAAAAACAAACAAACAAGTCAGCCCTTCAAGTTGCTTCCTGGATTGGTGCCAGGATAGGAAGAAAAATCAGATGTGCTCGTAGCTTTTTTGTGTTGGGCCAAATTTGTACTCTGATCCGTAATGATTAAATTATTCACATGTATACAGTTTTTAACACTTGCTCACTTTTAGGTTGGTGGGTATAGAAAATTTAGTTTAAGATCTGTGACCAAATCCTGGCTTGTCCAGTGTATCTACTAATATTGTACAAGTCTTAGGTATTGAGCTATCCAGTTGGAATCAGAGGTGGTTTTTTATGTAGATTAGAAAAGGGTATGTTCTAAAAGAGCCTATCTTTTTATTCTGCTTGTCCGAAAAGTTCCTAATTTTTCCCATTGGGTGGCATTTGTATAAAAAGTTACACAGGCAAATTAAGAAATCCTCATGTAACTTTCTGTGGGTGGAAAAAATAACCCCTTTCTAAAGAATTAAAAATCTACAAGCTTTCAGAGTAATAAAAGTGCATTTAAGCAGGCCCGTGCCTTAGTTATAAATATATAGTTAAAATCCCTGGCTGGCAGCTGCTATACTGTACATTTATTTGTTTCACTAGTATCATAATGGTGGTATATACAATCTGGATCAAAAATATTTAGCATGCACCTAATAAAGCCAAGTTAGACAGAAAAAGATCAGCTGCCTGAAGGTGTGATATCTGTAGAAAGGAGCCAAGTTAGAAAAGGGGGTTAGCCTTTCAAATGGCCAAGTTAAACAAAAGACACTTAGTGCTAAATTGCCTCCCAAAGGATTGATAAACGTTCAGGCAGGGAGTAAATTGGGGTTGGGCCATTAGTCCCAAATGGTGTCTTGTTTAACTTGGCTTTTTAGATAACTAACCCTTGTCGAATTTGGCCTTCTCTGAAGATATTCCACCTTTATATGACTAGCCTTTCCCCCCCCTAAATTGGCTTTTTCGTATCTGTTAAATGGTTTTGATCAGATAGCACTTTCTCTTTTTGGTTCAGAAACAGAATTAAGCTTGGTTCAGAAAAGAATTAACTTAGTATCACACTGAGAGATGGGCTGATTTCAATAAAAAGCTAGTTTAGAATGAGACAATACAGCCAGAACAGGATTTTAACCCACTGTTTTCTGGCCCACAACAAGACTCCTTTGCCACTAGACTATATACAGAATAATTCACTGAATTTTTTGGAGGCTGAAGGAGCCCATCTAGTTATCTAAACTGAAAATAATAATACTGAAAAAAACACAGAGAAAATATTACACAAGCACTACAGATATTGATACTTGAATACATACTCATATCTGCATGCATGCAAAATTTCATGAAAATCAGATACTTTAAATAGCATATGGTTTATTTTGTCAAAAAAAGATTAATTTGTAAGTTTAGTCATTTATTTCTTCTACACGATCAGACTTAAAAAGGGATATTTTCTGTACTATTCCAGCTATACAGATGAACTAAACGTCAAATGCTGCTCTTATTCAAGTTAATGGGAGTTTTGCCACTAACTTCATTGGGACCAGGATTTGGCCTTGAAAGAATTAATTTTCAACAATTGAAGTTGTCATGGCAGTAACAGATTTCCCATACAAGCTTTGTCCAGTGTGGATAGTCAAGGGCTCATTTTTTCTAACTTGACTAGAGTCAGTACTGTGACTCTAGTGCATAGGGTGTGTATGTATGAGTGTATCTGTATGGAGAAGGAATTACAGATTTATATACATTTTGATGAAGAGTAGGGACTGTCTTTTACCCTGCATTGGGACAGTGCCTAGCTCAATGGGACATCAATACTTGCTGGGGACTCTGGCTGCTATTGTAGTATAAATAATAATAATTAATAAGTGTTTCATAGTTAGCTCAGAGAAAGTATTCTGTTACTGTGGGATATACAGTAAACTGGTAACATGTTGTTCCAATATAGTAATGTATGCTTTACATGATTTACTAATATAGTACTTTGCATAGACTTATAATGAAAACAGGAAGGTGCATTATTATTCCATCATATTCCACACCTTTTAGCAGACTGTAATGGAATTCACATATATTCTCTGCTTCCCTACTTGAAAGCCTCTCATACGTTACGAAAATGCCTCTGCATTTGACAGTAGAATTCAATATATAAGGACACAATCAGCTGTCTTGTGTTTCCTTAAGAGCAGTCTCATTTCAAAACAGTTTTTAGAATTTCCACAGAGAACAAATAAGAATTGTTTCTTGTTTCAACAACTCTTATCCCTTGAAGTATCTTTAGCTGTAAGTTAACTAGAGCTCTCCTCCGAAGTCCTCTGTATTGACTAAATGGATGTAAAATTGATGATAGGTGAAGGAATTTTTTAAAACAATTAAACAGGAATTCTTTAATACAGCACTATATTATACAAAGTGGCTTTTAATTAGGTGTCAGAAAGAAGTATGTCCCCTTGTAAGTGTTTCATTTTCTGTTGGAAAATGTCACAGTGGAATAAATAGGAGGTGAAAAGTGTATTGATTCAAATCAAAAAGAAAAATCATACAAAATCTGCAGTGAAATTATGTAGAGTTCAGAAAGACAGGACTGAGTATGAATGAACGGTTAGAGGATCATTGATAACAAAAGCAACAAACCAGTTTTTAGCAACTAGATTTATTTTTGTGTTACCCAACATACAACAAAAATAAATCCACATTCTTTATTTAGAGTTACATGTGCCAGATAATTTCACTTCAAGTTCTGGATTTGGAAGTATTCCATTCCAGACCTCCTCATATATTTTGTAAGAAAAATGAAGGTACAAGAAAGGGGATGGTGAATGGACTCTGATATTAAAATTATCTTCATTTTCTTTCAGGAGAGTACATAACTGCTACAAATGCCGTCAGTGCAGCTTTACAGCTGTTGACACTCAGTCACTACTAGAGCACTTCAACACTGTGCATTGTCAGGAGATGGACATCAGTACAGCCAATGGGGAAGACAGTCATGGTATGTCTGCTATCAAGGAAGAGCCCAAAATTGACCTAAAGGTCTACAGTCTGATCAATCCAGACCCCAAAATGGGGGAGCCCATTTCTGACAGCATAGTGAAGAGGGAAAAGCTAGAAGATAAGGAAGTGCTCAAGGAGAAAGGTTGGACTGACAGCTCAAATGATGATCTTCGCAGTGTGACCTGGAGAGGAACAGACATTTTGAGGGGAAGTCCATCATACACACAAACAAGCTTAGGCCTCCTGACCCCAGTGTCTGTTGGCCAAGAGCAGCCAAAGCCGTTAAGGGATAGTCCAAACGTAGAAGCTGCCCACCTTGCACGGCCTATTTATGGCTTGGCTGTTGAGACCAAGGGATTCCTGCAGGGGGTGCCAGCAGGAGGCGGAGAGAAATCTGGACCACTCACTCATCAATATCCTGGATCAGGCGATAACAAATCAAAGGATGAATCCCAGTCCCTGTTACGGGTAGGAAGCTTTCCTTTGTTACACTGAATGCATGCATATCGTGTTTACTTTCAACTACTCATTTCTTTAATTTTGGAATGGTACTTTATTTTCAAGGGCACTTTATTAAAATCAGTCTAAAAGATTCAAACTTTTAGAGCTACATTGGCAGGTAATAGTTCACAAGCGTTTGTATAAAACATGTACCAGATGCAGTAGGAAGCAATTGTTTGTCTTTGCCATTAGCTCTGACTGAATTTTGGTTAATCATTCCTGCTGATTATGCAAGAATCTGATACATTTGGCGAAGAAAGGTTTAGAACCCCAGACGGCTGCACATCTGTTATATTAACACATCTAATCACCTCTTAAATTTTGAGATGGGGTGACAGCGCATACTGAAGCGAGATATCATAGTATTAAACAGCTAAAATGTGAAATATGAGTCAAATATTAATAAAGAAATGTAATTGGGGAGGGAGAGTTAAAACATGTAAAGTACATGTTAACTTTGACATTTGTCTGGTTGGCTTGTCGAAGAAGAAGAAGAAAAAAAGGAACTGAGGAAATGTCAAAAGAGAGAGAAATTCTGTATCTTCCTGTACATTCTCATCCTATCCTCAAAACAAAACTGAACTAGTTCTCTCTCTGAACAAATCGCACCTGTGCATACAAAGGGCTTCCCCTCACTCTTTTACTGTATGTACTTTGCCCTGTGAAGGAAGTTTGAGTTTCAGATAACTCACTAATTCTGAGGAGGAGGTTAGTGGCCCGGGGAAATAACTGTCTTTCTCTCTGAGTCAGCACTGGGTTTTCACTAGGTTCCATTTCCCATCTGAACTCCTAGAAAGTTGCTGCAGTTGCTTTCAGTTTACATACAAAGGTGATTTTGAAACTCAGCTGGTATTGAGAATGGAAATAATGATTAGCTGCTTTTCTTTATTCTCTCTTTAAGGACATTTAGAATCAAAATCCAGTACAATATGTCAGAAGAGTAAAGAGAAGGCAAATGTATTTTTCAGCAGTCTTCTATAATATGTTTATAAAAAATCTTTTGAGCTGTTTAAGTCAGTAGAGTCTAAAACTTGACAATTGTGCTAATTCTCAATAATTTATTTATAATTTAAAAGCTTCATGCATCTGAATGGAACCAAAGCATTATATATTGTATAAAGCCGTGAAATGTCACTGACATCATCTCTCAGCTTAATTATTTGAATAGTAACATGGAAGGCTTTCTGTGGGAAGATCTGGGTTGGGGACAATTGTGTATGGGAGCTTCATATATAGTACACGAGTTGCTTTTCTCCTCTGTTTATCAGTATTTTTTTTTAAAAATCCTGATTAGAGGTGAAATTTACCCTGACAGAAGGAACCACTTATATCCCACTTAAGCTCTATTTAGTGGGACTTAGCCATGCATAGACCTTTTGTTGGCTATCTCCACAGGGACCACTGTTACCCTGGGAGGCTAGCCAGTTGAGACTAAATTTTATTTGTTTTTGCACAGGCTAAACCTCATTGTCTATTTAAAAAAAAAAACATGCAAAGGAATCTGGTAACATGCTGCATTAGCGCTGTGAAAGCCACTTATACTCCTCTGGCTGTGCCTGAAACCTAAAAATAATACCACTTTAGTTCTTCGATTTACCTGATTTTTTTACCACTGGAGTAGGCAGAGGAGGAAAGATTATGCTGGGCAATTTTTATGGTTGGCTCAACAAGAAATTCAAATATAAATATATATTTAAAGGTTCTTCACGGAAAGGTGCTAATGTGATGAGGTTTTCAAACCCATATTTTGGGTTTGACTGGATTGCTTTTCAGAGGTGCTGAATTCCTGCAGTTCCCATTGACTTCTAAAATCATTGTCCTCTGAACATGCAGTCTGCTTATTTAGGTGCATAAATATGGATTCAGTTGTTAGGTTTAGGTATCCGCTTTTTAAAATTTTATCCTACATCCCAATTTCTGCTTTACATAGTTTGTAAAATGATTGTAGTAAAAGGTTAGGCTTAGTCTGCACTGATTAGGGAAACTATGTTGGCACCTTACAGGGAAGAATTACCTTTAAATACAGTTAATGCTAGTTGAACTCCACTGGACACAGAACCTAATTGAACATGTCTTTCCCTTAACCCCCATTTCTTTTTATTTTCATGATTCCATTTTTCTTCTGTGAAGACTGGAGAGGGGGCTTATGTCAGCTAGCCTAAGACAGTCATCTTTTTACTCGGACACTATGTCAGTGGACTCCTGGAACATGCTGGACCGAGTTCATACACATCATAAGACATACTTATGTTTCATAACTATTGAGGGAAGAAGGAGATAGTGAGACTTTAGCCTTCATTTTGGGAGTTCTCGGGGTGAATGGAACTTGAGGGTTTAGTGCTAATTCAGATTCAGAGCTGAATCAGGTCAGTGCGAAAAGAACCCCCAAAATTCCTGATTCAGTTCATTGAGGGCAGAATTGTGCAGTGAAACCCTGGCTCTGTTAAAGTCAAAAACAAAACTAGAATTTTTGGGGGATAGAATTTCACCCAAAGGCATCTTTGCCGCTGACATTCTGAAGGATTAGAATGTCAATTGATCCAAGCAGAAGAGTTCTTTAGATTAATTCTGCTGCCTCCTCTTCATTTCCAGAAATCTAAAGTTTTTCTAGTCAACACTGATTGTACCCAGTAAATTAAAAAACAAGAATGTTCTTTATTGTTTGAACATATCTTACTTGATTGTCCTCTTAGGAAAAAGAGCATGTAAGACTGTAACGTGAAGCAATGATTTAGGTACTAAAAGCTGGCATGCCCCAACCAGTGCTTCTAGCTGGTACAAGTCTCTAAAGTTATATCAGTAGTTTGAATTCAAAGTTGTGCGTGCTAGGGCCACTTGTTGACAAAAAGGCAAAATTTACACTACTTCTATTATTCTGTTTAGATGACAGAGACTGTCATTTCATGTTTTTGAAAAACTGACATGAACAGAACAGTTTTAATCTGGGGAGACCCAGTCGGGAGCACTGAATATATAACGTGATCAAAGGGGAAAAATCGCATGTGTCTGTTTTTGTGTTCCCCCCAGTGATTCCCATTTACTAAGAAAGCTTTGAAATGATTTTAACAGTTATAAGGATAGTTTTCACTTTTCATCTTTGGACTTCACTTTTGAGACTGGGTTGGCAGTGCTAGTCACACTTTTTACAGATGAGGTAACTGAGTCGCTGAGAAGCTTAGAGACCAGCCCCGGATCACATGGCAAATCAGTGGCAGAACCAGTATCAGAATTTTGTCCTTGTGACTCCCATTGCTCACTCCCTCCCTGTTCTGTTTTGAGTAGTGTTGCATGAAGTTTAAGTGGTCAAGGAATTTGGCTTATTTAATTGTTTTTAAAGTGTGTATAAATGCATATGGAATATACATAGCAATTATTATTTCTGGGAAGATATTTACATAATACAAGTTGTGTTGCAAGCTGTATATTGTATATTCAGTGTACTCTTTGGAAACACAGCCCCATAGTTTTTTAATCACAGCTGATGAGGGAATGCTTATAGATAAAACTGTGCATAAATAGAATTTGTTGTAGAATCAGCTAATGCAAGGGGTACAGAATTTATCCAACAGCAGAAAAATAAATAGAGGATAATATCACAAGCAAGTTTTCTAGGTGTTTGTTTTATAGTATATCTCCGATGGTTGACATGTGGTTACAATGTCAGAAATAATAAAAATCGATTGAAAAAAGGTGGAAAATTTTATATATTATAATTTTGTCAACAAAATTGTCTCATAAGTACAATACATTTGTAAGCCTTCATGTTTTGTAACCTGCCTATATGCTGCTTTGCTGCTCTCATTCTACCTGTGATGGCCACCTGCCCCCGACAATGTGTCATTTAGTGGATTCTTCATGGGAGAAGGTTGTGTAGGATTTCATTGCATCCTTTCAGGAGACTGAGACATTGTAATGATGGCAGTTCATACAATGCACGTGCAAACACATGTGGATAGTGGGCACACCTGCCCCCCCCAGACAATTAGAGAGAGTTTTCAGGCTGCTCATGTGTGAGTGAATCTTTCTCAGGGACTTGTTACCAGGGCCTACTGTTTTTGCCGCCCCAAGCAGTGTGCCAAATTGTCGCCGCGGATAGCGGGGGCAGTCCATGTGCCGTTAGGGTGGCACGCGCGTTTCCACAGTGGCCGCAATTCGGCAGCAGCTTCTGTCTTCAGCCGGAAGACAGAAGCCACCAAACTGCCGCCGTGGGCAGTTGAACATTGACGCTGCTGCCGAATTGCTGCCGCCGTGGAAACGCGCTTGCCGCCCTAATGGCACACGGACTGCCCCTGCCCTCCGTGGCGGCAATTCGGCGCGCTGCTTGGGGGCAAAACCACACAGACTGCCGCCCGTTGCAGATTGCCGCCCCAAGCACCTGCTTGGAATGTTGGTGCTTGGAGCCGGCTCTGTTTGTTACACTTCTCTGAGTAGCTTTAATTTTATTTTTCTTATTAAAATGTTTCCAGTAACTGTATTTACAGGCTATCTGTATGTTTTGTAAATGGGAATACAAAAAAAAAAAAAAATACCCTCTTCATGGAACAATGTAGATGTTAACCCTCTCTTCCTTAGAGTAACTGAATTTATAGTTTAAAGATTTGTTGACACTGGATGAGTCTATTGAGATGCAAAAATGTTCCTTTCGTGTGGGAGGGAACATTGGCAGCCAGCAGAAGATGAGCCAAGCAGCATTGTTTAGTGCTTTGACAACTCTGATTCTGGACAGTAGGAACTCTTTTCCTAAACTGATTTTAAATGAAGTGTCCTCTTTGATTATGTTTTGATGCTACAGTACCAAGTTTTCCACAGTGTAGACACACAGAGGTGCAACGTGATCCTGTTAATTTACACACACAGACCTATTTAGCATACAATGCTATCTGTGCACAAGGGGATGTGCAAATGTTACTGCAACATTTTCATATGCATGCATAAAATCACAGACCGTGATGTCTTCTAATGTCGTC